TTTGTGCTCTGGTGACATTTTATTTGGGAATGTTTTCACTCTAAAGGGAGCCGAACAACACAGACAATAGAAACAATAGAAACTTTAACCTACAAAAAGTCTGAGCAGCATGACTCATAAACTAAACAAACTTCTGTGTGGAAGCAAAGGCAGAAACACCCGGCCTCTCTCCCCGCCTCCTTATTTCATCACATTTTGCAGACTTTACTTTCAGTTCTGCTGATAACATCAGTGGTTCGTTTTAACCCAGATATTAGTGACGTTGTCACTGAGGATGGTTTTCATTGGCTCGATGATGCAGCTTTGACCTCAGCTGTGGGTCTCCATGCAAACCCACATAGATAATAAGATATTAGCTGTTAGATTATCGAGAGGTCACCATGAAACTATTTATTTTTCTGCTTCTCCTGGAAATACACGGCACGGTGGGACGTGAGTTAGAAATTTGTATCACTTACAGTAAAGTTTTTTAAACTTTGTTTTGCTAAGAAGGACACATTTAAGATTCTTTTTAAAAAGGCTATTAATAGGTGCGTTTGCCCACGTTTAAATAAAAGCCATTAATATCTCTGCTAGTTCTGGGAAAATGCTTCAGGAAGCTTGATTAGCATCACTTTCAAGTCACAAACACCAAAAAGGTTTGTGAGTTTTAATCACATCAACTTATCAGTGACACCAAAGGACTTCCTGATTCCTGCACAGTTCAGGGTGTGTCGGCAACATCACTAACAGTGTAACATGATCCATTACTCATCATCTGTTATTAATCACATCAACTTAGACTCTCAAAATAAAGTTGAACAAAAATACAATCGGATATTTTCTAATTTTACAACATTTGAAAAGAGACAATAATGAGTTATTGATTATTTGATTCATAATTACATCGGTATTAGTCTCAAACATAGTAAAAAAAAAACTTTGTGTTGGACTGTGCCATAGTTTTTGTTTTGTTTATAAAAACTGCCCTTAATTCAGCGCTGTTAGAATGATAATAGGATGATTAGATGAAATATGAACTGCATGCGCTGTTTCTGTTGAGTCTAAAAGCTGAAACAGTCATTGTTTCTTACAGTGACTCGCTCTCTGAGATATTTCTACACTTCTTCCTCTGGAGTCTCAAACTTTCCAGAGTTTGTAGCTGTTGGTTTGGTTGATGATGTTCAGATGATTCACTATGACAGCAACACAGAGAAAGCAGAGTTTAAGCAGCAGTGGATGGAGAAAGCTGCAGAAGATGATCCA